GTTTGCTTGAACAATATTTTTTCAAGTAACCAATTCTAGTAGATGCACAGATCCACAGGCGAATCCTGCCAGGAAATACAACTTTTTCCTTCCTGTTCATAGACACAAAATAATATTGTTTTTCATCATGGAAAAGCTTTTGAAGATTTTATTAAAATTGTTAAAAAAGAAGATGAATATGTATGTTGGACTATACCTATTATTCAAGCTATGAAATTAATTTAATTAATCTATATCTCACAAGAATTAATTTAACTTAAAAACAAAAAGAAATCTTTTTTTTCTCATTTCTATTATTCTTTATTTTATAATCATTCATAGTTTTTATAAATAATTTTAGATTTTAAACTTTTTTTCTTAAATCTATAAGATAAATGAATTATTTCTTCAATTATTTATATAAAAAGAAAAATTTTTATTTTATTTTATTTTACTAACTAATATTTTCGAATAATAATATTTAAAAATAAATATATTTTCTTTGAATAATTATTTTAGCCAATGAGAGATCATGGAAAATCTCAAATTATTACCAGTTTTAACTAAATATCTCAACTCTGAACTATGATTTCTTCTTAAGAAATCAAATATCTAACTTACATACAAGTCAAATTTGTTGCAAGAGAACCAGATATAACAAATTTAGTTTTTCTCTAAAATTTTCAATGATCATCGTAAATTGCAGTCTCAGACATACACCTTCATTTATATCTCATAAATCATCAACATTAACAAAATATGAGAAATTTACTTTTCTTCTAAACTTTTCAATCATTATCATCAAAAGTAGCCTTAGTTATTACCCAATACTTATATTTAAAAATTACGAAAGTAATGCCAACACTAGATTCGCGTTTTTTATGGCAGGATTCGCCTGTGCATCTGTGCATCTTCTAGAAATGGTTGTGCAAGATGCAGAATTTAATTCTCTATCGAATGGTATAATTTTCAACTAGCGTCATCCACCAAAAAACAGGAGTCTCCGGAAGGAATACTGATTTTGTGTCTATGAACAGGAAGGAAAAAGTTGTATTTCCTGGCAGGATTCGCCTGTGGATCTGTGCATCTACTAGAATTGGTTACTTGAAAAAATATTGTTCAAGCAAACTGGTTTAACAGAACCTGAAGCACTGAAGGCATGGAGAATCGAAACAGGTAAAGGTATGCTACCACGTTTCAATACTCATTTTATTCTCGGTCAAATAGAATTAAAACAAAATGACATCAAACTTCTACTAGACTTTCAAGGTTACCTACATGATCCAATAATTTATGGTTCCTCTTTTTATTACCGCTTCGGCGGCTGTACATAAAAAAACGTGTATTATCTCCATATAAGTTAAACTTGAAACTTGAATTCAATTGAAATTTCAACTTTCAACTTTCAAGCCAGGAAAGGAGTTCCAGGGATCAGAACTTTAATATCATTTCACACGCACATCAACGCACCAACTGAGGCTGCCACGAAAGAAGTTTATTGAAAGTTGAAAGTTAAATTGAATTCAACTTTCAAGTTTGACACTACTGATTATCTCTTCCAAACTATATTCTACCAGAAATTATTGAAAAACGATTAAAACATATGACCAGCCGTTGCTTCGACTATGATGTTATTCTGTGTCCAATAAATCAAAATAAACATTGATATTTAATAATTATCGATCTTGAAAAAAACTATTAATACAAATAGATTCATTATCAACAAATCTATTATCTCGACAAACAAAATTACAACGTATAATACACATATTAAATGTACAAAATTATCTAAGACTCGAAATGCCATCGACTTCCACAGCAATTGGAAACTGTGCATACCAGGTGAACAACTTCGCTTGCTTCAAACCCATGCATATTATCGTGAGATACACATTCGATATCGAGCACAAATGTATGATCATAAAAACAAACAAATTCCAATACTTGCCGATCAACTTCAACTACTACGACATCAAACAGCCAAAGATAATCATCGTAAACCAGAACCACTATTGGATGAAAGCGACTCTTCAGTAAGTAAACATGAAACAGACATTCACCAATTTTATTTCTTTTCTATAGTTTTCAGATTTGAAACCGACGAAAAGGACAACTAGAAAAAAAAATCAATCGTGTACAATCACGAACAACTAACCAACTATGATATAGAATCACATTGTTTTTCTAACAAATCAAATATCATAAAATAAAATACTTTAGACAGTCGAACAGACAAACCTCTCTCAGCCATAAAAGACAATGTTCACATCATAAACCATATTTCAACCGCTTTCTACATAACTGCCACATAATTAAACAACCAAATCACGCCATATCTACGGCAACCACAAACAATACTTATCACGCAAATCTTCAATCACCCACTAAATTCCCTCGTAATCTTTCTCAAAAAATCATTCACCATTAAACAGAACTAAATACCGGGCATCCATGTATTTCTGTCTGACCTAAGATACATCGGAGTTTGAGAACATACATGCTAATACCCTAGACGCAATTTTCTTCGAACAACACTTACAATTAAAAACTGACGCTCAAGCAAGATTTTCAGCCAATGTCTCTTTCCACAAGTCAGCCGTCTCTTCTACAAGCACATTATTCGATAGAGAATTAAATTCTGCATCTTGCACAACAATTTCTAGAAGATGCACAGATGCACAGGAGAATCCTGTCATAAAAAACGCGAATCTGGTGTTGGCATTACTTTCGTTTTAGAATCAATGAAAATTTTTAGTAAGAATAATTTGTAAATATTATAAGAAACGAATATGATTTAAAATAAAGAAAATGAATTCATATTTAATAAAATAAAATAAAATAAAATAAAATAAAATAAAATAAAATAAAATATTTATTTTGATTATATTGATAAAATGATTTTTCTGATAAGATAAAATTTTTAATAAAGAGTTAAAGAGAAAAATTTCATATAAATATATATATATCGAAGAGAAAAAACTGGTAAAATGAAATAAAAATGAAGATAAAATAAAATAAGATAAGATAAGATAAATATAACTTAAATAGAATAAATAGTTAATTATATTGAATATGTTCTATGCTTTATTTATATTAATTGATAATGGATTTATTTGATTTAAACGTGTCGAATGATTTATTTGTTGTGGTCGTTGTCGTTTTTGTCGTATATAATTAATAAATAAAATAATTTTTTCTTTTATTTCTGGTATAGCAAATATACATACTAATGGATTAATAAGTACAGCTATATACATAATATTAATAAGAACCCAACTTGATTGTAATTCAATAATAATAGTAGGTGGAGGATTATTTGTCATTACAATTAATATAACTATTGTAACTGGTAACCAAACAAGACTATGTAATAATGATACTGATAATAATTGAATAAGCATTCCAAGATTTTTTTTCCAAACATTTTTTTGTAACATTCGACGTTTTTGTTTAATAACTCTCATTATAAGAAAACAATTGAAAAATATAATACATGATAATGGAGAAAATACGGTA